AGAGAAACTTGGACTCTCATTAAAAACAAAATTAATTATGTGGGCAATTAGCAATACTAGCTTAATTTTATATTTTTTTCTCTTGATTTAAAAAAATAAATACATGGGGCTGGAGAGATGGTTCAGCAGTTGAGAGCACTAACTGTTCTTGTAGAGGACCCAGGTTCGGTTCCCAGCACCCACATGGCGGCTATGAGCCGTCCTTAACTCCAGTTCCAGGGGAATCCGAAGCCCTCTTCTGACTTCTGCAGCATTGTATGACATGGGTGCACTCACATACATGCAGGCAATACACTCATACCCATAATAATAAATTTTTTTAAAAAAATACATAGAAAATACATATATAATTGTGTTTGGGGGCCTACAGTCTATAAAAAATGTAGTATGTTTGAACAGTGGATAGTACAAAGGACACAGGTAGAAATAAAGCAGTATTTGAGTAAGAAGTAATGCCAGATGGTAACTCAAGTCCACAGGAAGTAACAGCAAAACCCACAAATGGCAAATAAGGTTATTGTCACAAGTTTTATGATCAAATTTTATCTCTTCTTTTTTTTTTCAGCTTTTAAATCCCTTCCTCACACCATTTAAAATCTTACTTCAAAACTTAAATGTAAGAGCTAAAACTGTAAATCTTGAGAAATAAAAGACATGGGGCATATCTTCAAGATCTCTGGTTAGTCAAAAGTTTAGCACTTTTGACCTCAAAGCACAAGTGCGAAACAAAAACATAAATTGAATTTCACCAAAATTTAAAAGTTTCATGCTGTGAACATTACCATCAAGAAAATGAAAAAACTCCACAGAATGAGAGAAAATATTTGAAAATGACATATATGATGAGATAGTGAATCTAAAATATACAAAGAATTCTTACAACTCCATTTAAAAAACGAATTAAAAACCAAGCAGAGGACATGAGTAGATGTTTCTCCAAAATGAAAAGCAAGTGGCCACTAAGCACACACAAAGGTGCTTGGTGTTATTGGTCATTAGAGAAATTCAAATTAAAACTATAACACTATATACCAACCTAGGCAGCCATTTAAAAATAACCCAATGTTGGCAAGAATATACAGGAGGGGTCAGTGAGATGGATCAGCGGATAAAAGTGCTTCTCCATGCAATTTTGATGACTGGAATTTGATCCCCAAACCCATTCTAGAAAACTGAATATAAAGTACAGAGGAATAAGTGTAAGAGCCAGATGTTGGAGAGGACTAGAGCAAAATAAGTGTCTTCTGGATAGGACAGGACCACATGAACCCACAGCAGCTGTGGCTGCCTACATAAGACCTGCTTAAGACTATGGCTGTCAACATTCTAACATGGAGTGGGGAGGGAAGGGCTCATAATTCCCCACCCCTAACTGAGGAGTGACATCAACTGTTACTACAGTTGGTGGCTTCTTGGGGAGGGAGAGACAGCTTAAGGTTATGGACTCTGGAAGGTCAACTACACTCCAGTGGATGGCCCTAGGACATGGTCAGAACAAATTGGACTTGGTGGGTTATTTAAAAAAGAGTGGAGGGGGCTGGAGAGATGACTCAGTGATTAAGAGCACTGACTGCTCTTGCAGAGGACCAGGGTTCAATTTCCAGTACCCACATGGCAGCTAACACCCATCAGTAACTCCAGTTCTAGGGGAGTCCGATGCCCTCTTCTGACTTCCATGGACATTGCACAACATGGGTACACTTACCAACATGCAGGCAATACACTCATATGCATAAAATAAAAATAATAAATACAATTTTTTAAAAAAGAGGACATTAAGTTGGGAGGAGCTGGGGAGATGGGTGGTGGATCTGGGAGCTGTTAGGAGGAATGGGGATGAATACGATCAAAGCATATTTTATGAAATTCTCAAAAAATTAACAAAAATATTAATTTTTATAAAAAGAAAACCAGGGTTGGAGAGATGGTACAGCAGTTAAGAGCACTGACTTCTCTTGCAGGCAAAACACTCATACACATAAAATAAAAATGTGGTGGTTTGAATGAAAATGTCCCCCATAGTCTCCAAGTATTTGGACATTTTGTCCCCAGATGATGGCACTGTTTTGGGAAGTTTTAGAAGGTGTGGCTATCCTGGAGGAAGCCCGTCACTGGGGATGGGTTTAGAGAGTTCTTAAGCCTTGCCAGATCTCCAGTCACCCTCTTGCTTCCTGTGCCTGCTGGAAGATGTAGAGCTTAGCTTCTGCTCTTCTTCTCCAGCCACCTCTGCCACCATGCCTCCCTGCTAAGACAGACTGTAATTTCCCTGGAACCATAAGCTCAAATAAATTCTTCCTTTTATAAGTTGTTTTGGTCAGTGTTTCTATCACAGCAACAGAAAAGTGACTAATACAAAAAATAACCAAAAAAGAAAAGAAAACCAGACATGGTGGTATCTGTAATCCCATCACTCCTATGAAGAGATGGGAGGCAGAGACAGGAGAATTGGCCAGAAGCTCTCAGGCCACCTAGCCTGGAGTACACAGCACAGCAGAAATAAGAGAGACTTTGCCTCAAAATGAAGTAGAAGGGGAGAATGACTCCTGAAAGTTGTCCTTTGATCTCCACATGTATGCTGTAGCATGTATGCGCCTACACTTCACACACACACACACACACACACACACACACACAAATAATAGAATAAAAAATCTGAAAAGAATGTGAAGAAATTGGAGTCCTCATATGTTTCTGATGGGTATGTAAAATAGCATAGCCACTTTGCAAAAACAATTTGGCAGTTTCCCTAAATGTTAAACATAGAACTGCCATATGTAACTCACAATTCTACTTCATGTGTATGCTCAAGGAAAAAGAAAGCATACATCTACACAAAAACTGTGAACAAGAATGTTCATATCAGCACTACTCACAACAGCCAAAAAGTGGAACCAAATGTCTATCAACTAAAGAATGGATAAATATGGTTCATCCAAATCTTAGAATAGTATTCAGCCATAAAGAGAACAAAGTAGTGAGCCATACTACAATGTGTCTTTGAAAACATTATTCCAAGCTAAAGAAGCCATGGGCCAGCTGTGTGTGCTGAAGGCAGATTGCAGGCCTAGCATGTTAAAGACTCGAGTTTGATCCACAGCACCATATAAACAAATAAACAGAAGCTAGTCATGAAGGGTCACATATTCAATAAGCCCTTTTATGTGAAATGTGAAAGCAAGGCAGATATACAGAGATAGAGAGTAGATTAGTGGTTGCCTGGGCCAGAGGGAGGGAGAAAGGTAAGCTGGGAATGGAGAAGGGCCTTATAATGGGGTTGGGGGAGCTTCTTCCTGGGAGATGCAGAGGTTCTAAAATTGTTGTGCTGATGAACAGATATAACTCTGTGAATGTATCACACACTGTTGAGCTGTATGTTTTAAGAGTGAGTTATAAGGTAGACAAACTGTATCCCAAAAAGGTTTTTAAAAAGTTAAGGGGGGCTAGAGAGATGACTCAGCAGTTAGGAGCACTGGCTACTCTTCCAGAAGACCCAGGTTCAATTCCTAGCACCTACATGGCGGCTAATAACTGTCAGTAACATTCCCGTTACAGGGGATCTGATGCCCTCTTCTGACCTCTGTGGGCATTTCATGACACGGGTGCACTTCACATATATGCAGGCAATACATTCATACACATAAAATAAAAATAATAAATAAAATATTTTTTAAGTTAACAATGGGCGTGTAGTATTTGTCTACCATGTACACTGGAAAAAATAAGAGAATTTCCTGGCACTGGAAAAAATAAGCTAAGAAGAAAACTAAAATGTAGGACAAATGTGGTGGAGCACACTTTTAATCCCAGCACTTAGGAGGCAGACGCAAACAAATCTTTGTGAGTTGGAGGCCAGCCTGGTCTGCAAAGTGAGTTCCAGGCCAGCTAGGGCTACTAAGCAGTGAATAGCAGGTCTTTAAAAATGTACTTTAAGTTTCACTTATAATCTAATCATATTCAATCCAAGAAAAAGCTGTGTTCAGACTGTGGCTTTGGCACTACCTGTCACTCTGTACCGAGGTTGGGCTTTCTTCAGGAGTTGATTCTTCATCAAGGACAAGAGGTGGATGACATCACAGTCAGATGTAATCCTGTGGCATTCTGGCCATTGTGGCAGGTTTGGGCCATGCACTCTGGTTGGGACAGTTTGACTCACTCAAAAGAATAACACTAATAATTGTAGTTTTAGAGGTCGACAAAGCATCATTATAGGTGGACCTATCTAGTCACCACCACAAGGGCTGTGACCTCTATTTTACATGTGCTAAAACAGTCCTGTCTTGCTAAAAGGCATCAAGGTTAGAAGCTGGCAGTGCTGAACTGAGAGGCCAGACTTCTGCCTCAGAGGTCAACAGCCTTTCTTCTCTACCTCCCAAAAGGATCCTCTTTGGATAACACCCAAAGTGCATACAGTTACAGATATTCAGCTACGTATGCCCAGGGAGCTAGCATGCAAAGTAGATGTGTAGGCGCCTCTGCTGGCTCCGCCCACCCTTCCACACAGTGACCACAGGCCTTTGCATGAGCTCTGGCTGGAGGTCACAGTCCTTCAGTGAGCTGCTATAGTCTGCTCATGCTGTGACCATCACTAAGGGACAGTTACACTTTACAGTTCTATCTCTCTCGTGTGTGTGTGCGCGTGTGTGCATGTATGTGTATGTGCCTTCCCTTTATATAAAACATAGTATACTTTGACTCATATTAGGTAATGGCTATATGCATTATATACTTTTCTGAGGTTATAAACACTGAACTTTGAAAATTGTAGTCTGTGAATCCCTTGAATTCTGGCATGTCATGTGGACTCTGGGACCTCACCCAGAAGTAAATGTAACAGTATGAGCTGTAAGTCTGGCCTGCTTCCGTGACTTGGAGCTATTTTGATTTTTGTGGTCTAGGTTTCTTCTCTAGATTAACAACTAATGATCTGGGGTCTTGGTGGACACTGACCCCTGTGGACAGAAGAAGACCAAATATCAGAAATGGAATGTTTGTCCTCCTACCTCCTCTGCCTGTATGGTTTCTCTTTCGATTTTCCCCAGTAGCTCATTTCTCAGCAAAATCTCCTTGTCCAGATTATTATATATTTCCATTGCCCGATGAAGCTTGTCCTGAAACACACCGACATGGAAAGTGTTAGTTAAGAGAGGTTCTCAGAACTGTAGAATGTGTCTACAGCAGAACAGCAGGGCCATCTGTTCCAACTACACAGTTCCACAGGAAATGGGGACTTCCCTTGCCCCCAGGTGGCCAGAGCTGGGGTTTGAGGGTTTGAAGATTGATGGAAGAAGGGGAAAGATCTTGGGGCATTGGCTTTAACTGGGGAGGTAGAGTGGTCCAACAGCAGGACCCAAATCCTGCCCCACTGCTTACTAAGAGAAACTTTAGGAAGCCTCCAAACTTATGTTCACGTGGCCACCTTATTGGGCTGACATCCTGGTTGAGGGTACAGCACTGTGCCTGGCAGGTGCAGATCACTCAACAGCTATCAGGACTACCTCACGAGGGTACGGGGGGGGGGGGGCTCTCCACAGGTGGTGGGTCTGACCCCTATCCCTGCTTACAGTTGAGGAAATTGACCTTTATAGAGGTGGGGCACAGATGATCACAGTGTGTGGGGCCAGGATTTGAATGAATGCATATTTCTCATCCCGTGGGCTCCCACACACTCCTGCCCAAAGAGCCTAGGCTTGCTGGTGTCAGAGAATCCTGCACAAGCTGTTTTACTGATCCCCACTGTATCACTTGCCCTTCAGCTCCCCTCAGGTCCCTACTGCTTAGATTGACCTCCTGTGGACCTCTCTCTCAGAACTTTAACTGAAAGGGAAGTCTCCATAGATACTTCATGAATGTGTTCTGCCTGTCTGAGGAGTGAGCAACCGAAAAGAGTCAGTGATTTCAGAGGTCTCTCTCAGCACATCTGGAAAACTGATCCACCCTGTACCAGGTCAGTAAAACACTGTAGGTCTTGCCTCCAGGAAGGCCACTCACAGCCAGCATCAAGGGAGGTGGGGAGGCCACAGATCATTACAAGAATTCCCATACTGTAATGTGCCTGTGGCAGGGTGCCCTGCAGTGGGAATGAGAGCTGAAAGGCAGAGTCAAACCCAGCTCGGAAAATAGGGAAGAGAAGGAACTTTGAAGCCAAGGAAAGAATCTTGGGGAATAGGGTCCAAAGGATCTGGAAGAGGATGTCAGAGAGCACAAAGGGGAAGTGGATGTAGAGACATTATCCTGGGATATCAAAAGTAGATAAAACAGAGAAGCCTGGAGCCACCTGCTTGGGGAACCCTAGGCCTGGGAGCCAGTATCCTTTGTCTCTCCAGTCCTTCCTTCTTTAAGCCTCATTTACTATTTCATGTCCTGTGTGAGAATAAGAGACCTGATAGAGGGGTTGGCTACCTGGAGCTGGGGCAGGGGAGGCAGGACAAGGCAGAGCAGGGCAGGGCTTTACTGCAAACCAGACATTTGGATATGAGAAAAGAAGAGTCAGGGAAGACATTTGCCCAGCAACTTTGAGAGACAGGACAGAATGGAACTGCACTCTGTTGGAGTGAGACATGCAAACCACAAACCACACAAGTGATGCTCAGTGGAGATGTCAGTCACTTGAAGAGGCCACTTCTGAAAAGACAGGCGCAGCTTTCTACCAGTACAACAAACCACCTCAAACTCTGGCTTAAACAACAGCCACTCCTTATCTCTGCGTTTCTAGAACAGGAGTCTGGGCGTGGTGCAGCTGAAATGAAAGTGTTGGTCAGGACTGTGGCTCTCAGCTGGAGCTCAGGGTCTTCTCCCAAGCCCAGTAGTTGTTTGCAGAATGTATTTCCTTGAATTCATAGCATGGAGGGGTTTCTTCCTGGCTGTCAGCAGGTCCCTCAGCTCCTAGAGGCTACCCAAGGTCCCTCCATGTGGCCTCCTCTATCTTCAAGCAGTAATGGAGAACTCCTGGTCTAGAAATTTTTATTTATGCTTCACATCTCTGACTTCCTTTTCCAAAAAGAAACTCCGCTTTCTATGGGCTTGCGTGATTAGGTCAGGCCTGCCTGAAACCCCCCTCCCCTCCATTTTAGGATCAACTTTGGTGTGTAATGTAACTAAGTCACATCACAGAAACAACCCAGTGCCTAAAGAGGTCGCATTGGCGACTGGGATTACACAGGGTGTGCGCACCTGCGAGCAAGCAGGGGACGTCTTATAATTCCATCTTCCTCAGGACACCGTCACTTACCTCAGTCAAGAGCAACTCACAGCAGCTGTAGTCATAGTGCTTATGCCCTGCCAGACCCTCCAGGCAGGCCTGAGGGCAAGGAGTCAGAGAAAAAGATGCCATTCACACTCAGACACACTCAGAAAAGTCACAGAAGAGCGCATGCCTGCCTATGTGGTCTCAGAGCTATGCCTCAAGCACTTGGCCCTGTGCGTGGCAAGCCATAAAACTGGTACTTTTGCCAATATAAAGGAGTTAATCTGCATGTTTTCAACAAGATCTTATTCTTGGGTGTTTGATATTTGTGCCAAATGGCTCCCTATCACCCTTCCATAACCACCAAATACACACCCAAACGGCTGGCAGTTATCTGCTATTCCCTGAGCACCTGCTCAACTCAGGTCCTGTTCTCTGTGCTGGGCAGACAGCACAAACCACACAAAACTCTATCCAGAGGTGATACATGAAACCTGCCTCTGGCAGCTGAAGCACATGACCAGATGAAGCATCCCCTTGAGCAGAACCATCATCCAATCCCAGGTGGGGTCAGACTACAGCGTCACAGTTGTTCTGCCTCAGTTTCCCCCAGGAGAGTTGAGAACCGGAACATGGGAGAAGTGAGCTCACTTCTTCCTTGGCCCCTCACTTGGGTCCATTTTCAAACTCCTGTGGAACATCTTTGCCAGTTCTGCCTCTGTCTACCTTCATATGCAAAAGACCTATGGGCATGATGGCCACAGGGATTCTGACCGGAATGGCCCACATGTAGCCTGCATCACAGCTGCTCCAGTACTACCTGGACCTATTTTGACCTATCCTACAGTCTTCGACCGCTGATATCATAGCTCCACTTCCCAAACCCTTAAAGTACAAGCAGGTCCTGTGCTGCTTAACTGACTCCATGGGATAAGACCAAGGTCCAGTTTGAGCTAGCTATGTCCTACCCAGCTTTCCAGGCATCGAGGGCCTGAGAAGCATGGGACTGGCCTCATCTGAAAGTAACTCATCTGATGGCCTAAGCCAAAAGTAAATGATCTACTTATTTATCACATTCTTGTTAACGCAACTGTCTCTCCATACTCCATGTGGGATGTACGCTGGGCTGGGTCTCCCAGCTGTCTCTAGTCTGTGGTATGACTCTGACTAATCTCTGCATCTTTGAGTCTCAGGTTTTTTCATTTGTAAAGAAAAATGTTGAGAAAACCCAAGCTTAGTCTATATATATTCAAATTCACTTTGTTTTGGGTTTTGGGGGTTTTGTTGTTGTTGTTTTGAGACTAGAGCTACCTATGTTTCCCAGGCTGGCCCCAAACTTACCCTGTGTTGCCCAGGCTACTTCCCTCTTCAGAGTGCTGTGATTACAAACATGTGCTACCACACCTGGCTACAAAATTCACATTGTTAATCACATTTTGGTGGACCAAATGAGAAAAAGTCCCCCATCTCCTACAAGTGTTTTATTGGTGAAATTTAAAGCTTAGTAGCAGAGTATATAATATTTTGGAATAGGACCAGCAAGATGGTTCAGTGGCGTGGAGGTGCCTGCCACCAAACCTGACAACCTGAGGTTGATCCCTGGGACCCACATGGTGGAAGGAGAGAACCAACTCTTGAAAGTTGTCTTCTGACCTCCATATGTGTGTCATGGTATGTTCCCACCCCCCCCAAAAAAATTAAAATGTGATTAAAAACATTTGGCAATACAGGTCTACCTTTTGAAGAATGGATTTTCCATAGGAGAGGTCAGTTTTGCTGTGTTGGGTCTCATAGTTAGTGTTCTCTATCATCCAATTCAGTGCACATGTTCCTCTGTGAAAGCCATTTTTAGCTCACAGGCTGGGGGGTGAGAAAAAATCACCCATTTTGCTGGCCACTGCACTATCTCATTGCTCACAGGGTGACCAGATGGCCTGGTCTGCTGGGGATTGGCCCTATTCACGCACGTAGTCCCTGTTTAATTATTAATAGTGCCTCTTTTCTCTCTGCAAAGCTTGCATTCAGATAGATGATAAATAATTTAGTAGTTTTCTGACTTAAAGCTGGGACTGTTTTTCTTTGCAGGGCTTTAAGCAAAGTACTGAAGATACACCTCAATTAAATGGGGCCCTAAATGTGGTTATCTTTCAAGGGCTGTGCCTAACAACCACCCAGGGAATTCAAAACCAAGATGCATGGCTTTCACCCCCTAATCCAATTAGGGTGGGACTAGAACACAGACATATGTTTGAAAAAGGAAAAGGCTCCCAGGTGAGCCTTGTGAGCAGCCAGGATTGTGGAAGAATTCTGGGGATTTTAGGACACCTGGTTTTGCCAAGTCAAGAGTGGTCAGGGGACAGCAGGAGACATGGAAGGGCTGGATGAGCCTCCCTGAGGCAGGGCAGGTGGGTGCCTGGCCTGGGGCAGGCCTTACTTTGTAGGTGTTAAGAACCTGCAGAGTGTTCCCAAAGGCCAGCTTCAGTTGGATCAGTTCTTGATTCCTCGCTTCAATCATCTCTAAACACTGAGTGTTCTCGATCTTGAGCTGCTGAAAATCAACATCGTGCAGAGCCTCCCCCACTTCTTCCTTCTGTGTTTCAGAATAAAGAAAAGAGGCCAAGGTCTGGTGAGAGTGCCGGCTTAGGCTCCTACCTTGCAACTTGGTGAGACTTTGGAGAGGTACCATCACTCAGTCAAAGAACATTCTGGACATCAGCATATGCTCGACACTGGGGCTAGCTATTGATTCAACACAGTGTACCCTGGCCTCAGGAAGCATACATGAGGGCTCTCGGGCTGAAGGTACCAATTGAACAGTGAGGTACAACAAGGACAGACAGGGGTACCCTGAAGCCCCAGGTCTTCAAAAAGACCAAAAAAAAAAGTGATTTTTTTAAGGGCTGGAGAGATGGCACAGTGGCTAAGAACAAGGGCTGTTCTTCCAGAGGGGCTAAGTTTGGTTTCCAGCACCCAAGACATGAAGCCCATAAGTGCCTGTATCTCCTGCTCCAGGGGATCTGCCACCCTGTTCTGGACTCTACAGGTACTG